GCTCCGGCGCGCGGGCCTCCATGCCTGGGATGATGGACACTGCCCCATGGCTGCCTCACAGAGCCAGTGGGTTTTAGTCAGGGGGCTCTTGGTTGAAGCTTTGCAGCTTTTATGGGCTCGAATTTATTCTGCTCTGAACTTGCAGGACATTTCGATGGGACGATGCGGGAGCAATACGGAGCCCCAAGCCCAAATTCTAAACCAGCTCGCCAACTCCAAGCAAATCGATCATCACGTAAGTAATGTCTGGAACAGGGACGTTCTCGACCCCAATATACAGCAAGATCATGCGCGCTTACTGGCATTCCAGCTTTAAAAAAGGATAAAGCAGGGTGACATGCTGGTACTGCAGCATGCCGCTTTCCACCGGAGTGCGAGTTAAAACCCTCCCCGAGGCCCTCCCCCGTGCTTTCACGTTGTCGGGGTTCAGCGGCCTGGCCAGCTTGAACTCCAAGTGGAGGGGGGGGGGGCAAAGACGACCCTGAGAAGCTGGGAGGGATGGCGCCTCAGACAAGGCTCCAAACTGCCACCCTGTATGGCAGCGGGAGTTCTCTAGCGATGAAACGGCCACGGTGATTTGAGTTTTCCGCGGACTTTCCGGAGTTCTTTGGTCCGGACATGAATCGGTACCACGCGCACGCGGAATCGCGACGGGCTGTTGTCAGGTCGACTTGGTTATCAGCTCTACATCCTTAAAACCTGTCACCAATAGGTGGAGGTGAGGCTAGAATGGGCTGCTGAGGGCGGCTGGCTGCAGGGTAGCATCCAAGAAGCAAGTGCAACAGTACCCCAAACCCCATTTACATGTCTCAGGTGCTGAACCTGGGGCTGAATGACGCGACGGCGGAGGTGGTCTAGTCATTCAAGACTTGCTGGGTGAGTAGGTACATCGTGTCCTTTTAAGCTTTCTTTGAGATCATCGTATCGGGGAATGCTTTCCATTTCCAAGCCCATGCATAGTGGAAAACAAAACGCGTTATGAGGTTAGAAGCCCGATGATAGCCCGAGCTGGCATGATTTTGAAGTAGTTCACTGGGTTTGGGGTGTAGGTGCCTTTCCAAGAGGGGACCTGGTTTTGGCCTTGTGTAGCCCCCGCTACACTTGGATGGTGTCTCCGTGCAATGCATTGACTTAGTGTCACAGAGGCCGAGTAATTAATGGAGAATACAGAGAATTCAGGATGGTAGCAACCTGCAATGTGAGTAGAAGCTGCTCTGGCAAATGGGCTAGAAGCTAGAAGTACAGTCACGGAGCATGCTGGGATAACGGCGGACCCAGGACCCTGAGCCGTAATCCCCAAACTGCAAAGGAAGAACAAAACACGCAGGCGCTTGCTAAGCAGTCCGGAGACCGTCGTTTTGCCTTCGACAGCTATCGCCGCTTTGTGCAGATGTACTCAGGCGCACAAGACCTGGATGGGCTATGTGGGTGGTTAGCGCTTCGGTCCAGGCTGTCACTGGAAATTTTCGTGCATTGCCACTGGCAAAGTTGTCGGATCCAGATATGTCATGACATGTGGAAAGTGTTGCTACTTGCTAAACGACACTCGAGTGCAGATGGTCGTCTAAACAAAGATGCCTGAAGCGATCGAGCCGCGCCTCACTTTGAAGCAAGGAGCAACCGTGTAGGGACCATAAGTACAACAACCATGATGGCGACTACTATCTGATACTACTACTGATCCTAACTGTGCTGCTGCTGCTGCTGCTGCTGCTGCTGCTGCCACTTCTGTAATGCTTACGCCATCTCAAAAGACAGCGTTCTGCAACAAAGCACGGGACCCTGAGACGTGGTGCTTGGCATCGAGCTGCACAACTTCGAGAAGCTTCTGGAGAGGTCCAAGAAGAAGCGAGGTGTCGCTCGGCTCAGAGGAAAGAGATCCAAACTGAAATAATCGTACAAGGCATCTTTCTAGTAGAGCCACTCGCTGTGCCCATGAAAACCAGACTTCTGTAGAGAACAGGGGCGATGACAAGGGCTTCAAACAGAGTCAAGCAAGAGGATTAAGAATTGTTAGTTTGGACTTGAATGTATCCAGGGGGGAGGAGGCATGATTTTCGCAGGGTAGAGTAAGGATGTTTGCATAGTACTAGCACATGGGAAATCCCCAGGAATGATCACAAAACGAGAACAGTGGCCGTCTAGTGATAGTGATTGCAGGTGACGATCGTAGTGCTACGTACCAAGACTTACTGGGTGTTAGTAGCGAATAGAGGAATATAATCCTTGTACCTTCCCTCGAGAGCCTCTTCCTTTATTCCCCACTAGAGTCCAGGTGACGCAAGACCACGAGCTCCAGCCAAAGGACTTGGAGCAGCTGGTCAAGGACTACAAGGCTTTCTTCCGCGCAGCCAAAACTCACAACAACAATGATGATGATGATGACGATGATGATGATGATGATGATGAGTATGATGATTCGATCTCGTCCTTCTACGGATACCATTCCAACCACCCTCATGCTAAGCGTTCCACCCATTTAACGCTGCTACACGGGAATATTTGTTGAGTGGTATTTCTTAGCTTCCTTCAAATGGGCCCTGCCTGACAAAGCCGGCGCTCATGAGAGGCCTGTGTTTATCTGCAGCTCGGGGAGGAGTTCCCGGAGGAGTTCGGGGGTTTGTTTTAGTCTGAAGTTGAGGGCCAAGGGCGTATAGTCCCCCTTAAGTAGATAGAATATGGCTTTGGGTATGTTATAAATAGATCCCCATATACCCCATATTCTATCTACTTAAGGGGGACTATAGGGCTTGGGATTCATGATTTGGGTTTCAGGGTCTTCACAGAGATGATCATTTGAAATGCCAATGAAGCGCCCGCAAGCGGAGCTCCTGAAAGGAAAGGGCCCTAAGCTCAGGGATTCCTACAATCCATGTGGTTTTCCAAAGATCAGAGGGATGTATAGTCCCCCTTAAGTAGATAGAATATGGGGTATATGGGGATCTTATTGTACTTAAGGGGGACTATATCTCCACAGTTCCCATGTTATTGGGATCGTTCCTTCCTGTTATCCATTCTCTTCCCTCTCCCATCAGCGGCAGCGAGATGTCTTCCCAACCGCAGAACCCCGATGAGGATCCACAACAGCAGCTCTGGGGTGCAGTGGGCGCTGTCTTCGGGTCTTGGATGAACCAGAGGGCCAAGACCTACCGGAAGCTGCATGATATCCCGGAGGACGCTTGTGGTGAGAGGATGGTGCTGATGGAAGGTGTTCTGAGGAGTTTTGTGCGGATGTTTTTGTTGAGGCGGGCTAAAATAGATTTTGCCTGTTCGCGCTCGAAGGTGATTGCGTCCTTTCTTGTTCAGTTCTATGATCAAATCGGATTTTGCCTTTTGCACCCTGCCAGGAGTGGGGCACGGCCGTGAACGTTCAGGCGATGGTGTTCGGCAACATGGGCAACGACTGCGCAACGGGAGTTGCCTTCACCCGCAATCCTTCCAACGGTGCCAAGGTGTTTGCAGGGCTATGAATCCAAATTTTACGCTCGAGTTCTATGGTTCCACCTCCTGCACGTCATTACTTGGTATATCTTGCTATTGTTAAAGACGTTCTAGCCGAATCCCTGTCCAGGATTTCTACGGAGAGTTCTTGGTCAACGCTCAGGGTGAGGCCTGGTCCATCCCTATTGTTGACCCAATGATTTGACTTGCCTTTGGCTAGCTGGGAATGGAGGATGGAAACGAACATGGAAACGAATTTCTACAGGGGGTTCCAAATCCCTTAGAGCTACTATAAGGATCCATTCCTTTATTCCTAGCTAGCCAGACGTAAGTTGAAGGTTCCTGTATCATAAAACCATCACTCATCTTCATGTAATTCTCTCGTGCTTCTTTACGCGAAATTCTCGCGTAGTGCCCCCCCAAGCTATTTCTCTAGCCCTTATGTTAGCATTGACAGTTTGTCAGGACGTGGTGGCCGGCATCCGAACACCCCAGGAGCTGACGATCAAGGCTTGCTAGAAATAAGCCTTCAAGAACCTGCACGGATAAGAACAAGATGTGTCAAAAAGTCTTGAAGCCCGACAGCCCAAACCTAAACGCTGCGCCTGGTAGCTCTCAACCCCAAGCTCCCTCCCCAAGATTTCCAAACAAAACCAGGCTCGCAAGTCCCATGGCAGCGACTTGCCGTCGCTGGAGGAGGTGGGCTTGTTTCCAAAATCACCGGTACTTTTAGGGTTGGGGCATAGGGGTCAGGGTTTGAGATCGATGGGTCCTTCCTGGGAATACGAGGGGAATACGAGGGGAATGTATACTCGCTTCATAGCGATCATCTTGGAATACTATGAGAGTCACAAGGAGTTGAAAATGTGCGGCCGTGCTTTGGCTTGGGACGGGCATACGAGCAGCATTGAGAATTCTAAAAAAAAGTGCCTATGTGTCACTAAGGGTGCGTGTGTCCTGGGCTGCTATGAAGAGTTCCTGAAATAATGTAACGGTGGGTAGCAACCTACAGCTTGTAAATGATGCATTGAAGAATCCTAGGGTTCAGGGTTTAGGGTGGAGCCTCTTTGAACAGAGGTTGCACACAACTTGCCAAGCCACATGGATGGCTGTCACTTTGGTGTTGGAATCTGCTTCCTCAGCATGTGATTGACATGAAACTTCCAGGCTCCCCCTTTGAAAGGTGATGCCCGGGATCTTCCGCGAGCTGGAAAACGTTCGGCACCAGCTGGAGAACCATTACAGGGACATGCAGGACATCGAGCTTCTTGCCTTCAACGGTTCCTTCATATGACCAGCCTGTCGTTGTGTGCTGAATGCTGTTGCGGTTTTGCGATGTCTCAAGCAAATCAGAGCTGAGGTTTACCATCCAGCAAGGCCGGCCACCTAGCCGCTCTTTGTAGCGAAGCGTTAAACCCAAATCCTCACACCTGAAGCTTTTGCAGAATGGAGACCTGAAAGCCTTACACCCCAGACCCGGAGCCGTCTAAGAGTTCGAAAGGCAAGCTCTACATGCTCCAGACCCGCACGGGGAAGCGCACGGCCCACGCAGCCCTGCAGATTGCGGTGGACATGGCCAACGAGGGGCTCATCAGCAAATCGCAGGCTTTGGGGTCTGGATGGCGCTGGGATGCCCGAATTTTTCTGGTTCATTTTATGTAGGCTTCGGTGTTTAGGGATTACTTTTGGGGTGTAGGGTTTAGGGTATCAACAAATGCATGAACAAAACACAAAGCTGCAAACCGCAATCAAGCCGAAATTCCATGAAGGCTTTGATGCGCCTGAAGCCGGACTTGATTGACCAGCTGCTCCACCCGACGCTGGACCCCAAGGTGCAGGGGACACTGGCTAGAAATAGTTGGGACGTAAGTCATGTTGTGTACACACTGTTGATATGACCTGCATTGTCCTTGAGTGCCCTAAACCCCTAAACCCTCAACCTTAAATCCCATACCCGAACCCCTAAGCCCTTCAACCCTATCACCGTGTTGTGGTGGTGGAGGCGGTGGAGGCGGTGGAGGTGGTGGTGGTAGTGGTGGTGAGGTGCTGGGGGCGGCCGCGGAGGCGGTGGGTATCCTGTGGTTGATATGGCCCATCCCGTTAAAGGCCCTGCAAAGCGACCGTTGGGACCTATTAAGCTCCTTTGAAGAGCCCCACTGATGGTAGAAGCAGTTCCAGAAGTGGTCGTAGTCGTCGTGATTCAGCAATGACGGTAGCCGCAGGCCAAGAAGACCGTCATTGCCAAGGGCCTCCCGGCTTCGCCAGGCGCGGCTGCGATCTCCAGTCTTTATTCCGAAAGCTGTGCTTTGGAAGTGAAGCCCCAGCCTGAACTCTCTAGGGGTGGTTAAAACAAGGATCACTCATCTTGGGTTAGCGGCGGCTAATGTCGAGAACTGCCACGCTCATCGTCCCTCGACACCAAACCCGAAATCCCGACCCTTAAACCCCAGCATTCTTCTGATGATCCCATAACCCCTTGCCCTAAATCCTAAAGCCCGAATCCCTGAGGTGCAGCCGCTGGGAAGGTAGTCTTTTCGGCCGACGAGGCCGTCACCCGCTCCGAAAACGGCGACAAGGTCCTGGTGTGTGCGTGAGTGCAAGTTAGCAGTTAGCACTAGACCCTCAAACCGGGGCCCAAACTCACTTACCTTTACAGTCCCCTTTAAATAGATGGAATATGGGGTATATGGAGATCTTATACCCATATTGGGCAATTCCATATTCTACCTACTTAAGGGGGACTATACGATCCCTCATGTTGAGAAGACACCGCAGGTGATCCTTGTGCGCATCGAGACAAGCCCGGACGACATCCACGGCCTACACGCGGCGGAGGGTGTTCTGACCCCTGGTTGTCAGTTTCAGGGCTTGAGCTTACGATGATAGACGTATCAAGCATGCAGTGATTCAGTGGAGATGAAAGCGTTTGTATGGATGAGTGTGTAGCCGACTATAATTTCCAAAGCTGTTGGGTCCCCTTCATGGTAGGTTGCAGAGTCTCTGCATGGCAGAGTAGATCTCTTGAGTTCCACCTTTTGACGCAGTCAGTCAGATTTATGGGTTGCCCAGCTACATCAACCAAATCGACAGGAGGCGTTTAAGTGGGAGACCAAAGACACCCCACATGCCTTGCTCTGTGAACCTTAGGACGACTCGCGGTGGGATGACAAGCCACGCAGCTGTGGTGGCACGTGGCATGGGCCGACCCTGTGTGGCAGGCGCTGGGGAGGTGAAGGTCAACTACAGCTCGGCGTCATTCGAGGCGAGCTATGGTTGGCGATTTGGGGTTTGGGGTTCAGGGGGTCTGGGTATAGTTTGGAGGTTCGGAGTTAGGATTTAGGGTTTGACCAAACTAGGCGGGTAGAATCGCCTAGGGAGGGAGCGAAAGGGATTTCTAGGGTAGACCTCTCGATCAGGGAGGTACTTCCTAGACTCAAAACACTGCAAGGCCTACAGCTCAGAAGGGCACGAATCCTATACCCCTTCTACCCTATCTATACCCAACACCCTATGTACATCTGTATGGGCTTCAGCCCATGGAGAAAAGGTCCGAAAAATGGAAAAACCTATCCCCTCTACCCTAAGCCATAAATCAAGTCCCTAGGTGGGCAATGTGGTCGTCCGTGAGGGTCAGCTCATCACCATTGATGGTGTCACGGGAGAGGTGATGCTTGGAGAAGTCCCCACGGTGCCCCCGCAGCTTTCCGGCGCCTTTGGCACTAGAAGCAAAGACTTGGAATCCTTTCCTAACATAGCCTGACATACCAGATCCTATACCCTGAGATATATACCCTACTATAGTAGTTTCCATTTTCTTTTCCATTCTCCCTATATAACCCCTATATCACTGTGTGTATAGTAGGTCCCTGAATCCCTTCAACCTGAGCCTGAGATGCCCCAGGTGCCTTTGGCACCGTCATGTCCTGGGCGGACGAGTTCCGCACCATGCAGGTTCGGGCCAATGCCGAAACGCCGGCAGATGCGCGCCAGGCCGGGCAGCAGGATTGGCTAACGAGTGGACTTGACACTTAGTGGGGTCTAGGGTTTTAGGGTCTAGGGCTTGTTTTCTTTTAGGTTGCGGAATTGGGGAGGGGTTAAGCAGGATGTATCAAGACCCTTCTGCGCAACTTCACGTCAGCACAACCTGATTGAGCTCAGGCAAAGGAGTTTGGCTGCGAAGGTATCGGCTTGGTGCGCACAGAGCACATGTTCTTCGAGGGCGGCCGGATTGTGGCACCAAGATCAAAATGAGTAAGGTCTGAGTTGTTCTGAGGTACCTAGTAACGAAGCATAACCAGTGTAATGAAAGATGTGCTGCCCCCAGCCAGGATCCAGTAAGGCAATGCGTCAGATGATCTTGGCATCGGACAAGACGGACCGGCAAGCAGCTCTGGACAAGCTTTTGGCTATGCAGAGGGAAGACATCACCGAGTTGTTTAGGAGCTTTGGAGTATTCTTAGAAGATGTTTCGCGGTTTCACGTTTTCCTTCGCAACCCCATTGGGATACGTTTTTTTTGTACATATCTTCTGCACAGGAATGAGCCCAACAAGCATAAACAAAACAAGTTGTTTCTCATGAGACTCGTGTGGACGCTGCAGGATTATGGACGGTCTGCCGGTGACAGTCCGTCTGCTGGACCCTCCCTTGCATGAGCACTGCCCCCGGTCTTCAGCCATGTCTTCGCCATCCATCGGTAGCAGGAGATAGTAGAAAAAAGGACAAACATGACATAGGTATCTGTTCACATATTTACAGGTACGATGGAATGTATCATGAAACGTACACTCGTAAAATGGAAGGTAACAATGATCTTGAAGCCCGTCCTTCAAGGTTTTGTTGCCGGATGTGGCTGCATACCCCCAGAAGAGAGCTGGGAGTGTGTCCTTTAGCAACAAGATCCCCTAGAATCCGTTCCCTCATGCCCTGCTAAGCACCCGGGGGGAGCTGTGTGGGCTTAGGTTCATCCCGCACACGGAGGCCGAGATGGGCCTGGTGGCAAAGGCAGCCGGAGTGCCCTTGGATCATTGTTCAGGGTGAAGGGTTTGAGAAGGCAACTGAATTGTTGACTTTATTAAGGACTCTAATTCCCCAGCCCCCTAAATGCCTTTATCTTCCTTAAGTCGCCCCCGATATAATTCCCCACACGCCTTTGTCTTCCTTAAGTCCTTCCCCTAGTCCGAATATTTTGGAGAACCCTAAACCCTAACTCAGGTGCCTTTGGATCGCGTACGTCGCCGCGCCAGCGAGCTCCAAGAGGCCAATCCCATGCTTGGCCACCGAGGTGCGAGTGTCCCAAAAACCACCCAAAAATGGCGAACAACTTTTACATAGGGATAATGGAAAAGAAAATTGAACCTACAGGGGTTATAGGGGTTATATAGGGGTTATATAGGGGTTATATTGGGGTTATAGCAGCTGAAGCTTGGACCCCAAACTCCCCTAAACCCTCGGGGGGGGGTCTCCTTCTTCAGGTTCCTTACTCCAGTACCTCTAAGAACGTCGCCGCGCTAATGTTGTTGCTGCATATCCCTGAGCACGAATAGGGGCGTCTGTCTTGGCTATGGACATTTTGGGCGCTCTCGGTTTGGGGTCCTCAGCATCCACTCAGGACCCAGATCGGAGATCATTAATTTGTTGCAGATTACATGAGAGGGGTCCTGTGTTTAGTCCTGTACAAGGCAGGGCCCCATGTTGGGAAAGGATCATTTTTGCAAGCCTCTTCCTCTAATCACTCTTGACCACCTGAGGTTGTCGCCTGGCCATTACATATCCAGAGATCTGCGAGATGCAGGCGAGGAAACCTGAGCGGGGAAATGGCATTCAAAATCCTCCCTGCCAGAATTCCTTTTACAAGACCCCATCAAACCCAAATTCCCATGAATGCGCACCAAAAAGCTTGTTTAGGCTTCTGCACTCCCAGAAACTTCACCTAAGCCTGCTTCTGCCGTAGCAGGCTCGCGCCATCTTCGAAGCAGCAGCAGAGGTCGGCCGCAGCGCCAAGAAGACACCGGTGGCCGAGGTTGCTTGCTAGCCCATTAGGGCCCTAAAAAATCCTCACTAGCAAGGATCATGGGTTCCCCTAATTCCCCAACTATACTACCTCCTGAGGTTCCCCCTGAATGAAGGAGGGGTAGTAGGGAACCTATGAAACGAGGACCCATAGGGTTCTGGGTTTCGGGGTTTTGGGGTTCAGGGTTTGCGGGTGCTCTCAACATAATCCCCATCCATCATCTCCATTGGCACCCCTGCTTTTGAGAACATCTCAGGTCATGGTACCTTTGGTGTCGACTCTGGAGGCGTCTTGTTCACTGTTCATGCGCCCTTTTCGATAGCACTGTTTCAAGGTGCTTGTTTTTCTACATCTTTGCCTTCACGCGTGTCCCCGATTATTCTGTAGAGTTTGATTGAAGGTAAGGGATATGGCTGCGGAAGCCCCCGAAATGCTGACACCATACCTAGCAGATTCCTAAACCCTAAAGGTGTGTTGAAGCTTTCAAGTGAGGAGCTGGTTCAGCTGAAGAAGGTGATCGAGGCAACGGCCCAGCAGGTTCAGAAGGAGCAGGGCGTGAATTTCACATATCGCGTGGGCACCATGGTGGGAGCTTCCAAAGCAAAAGCCCCCCGTTTCTTAGGGTGCTTACACTTACTGTCCTAAAATTTGAGTCAGTTTACCTAATTACCCTTCAGCCCTAAGTCCAAAGCCCCCGAACCCCAAACTCCATGACCCCAAAACCCAAAACTCTGAACCCTGAACCCTAAACCTCTGAACACGTCAGGCTTCAGTTTAACCCTAAGCCCTAACCCTCCAACTTCCTAAAGTGGAAACTTGAAACCCCATCCTTTGCGGAACCCTGTGAGGTGGAGCTACCCCGAGCTGCACTGCAAGCAGGTCGCCTCGCAGAGCAGGCGGAGTTCTTCAGCTTTGGCACCAACGATCTGACCCAGACTACATATGGCCTAAGCCGAGATGATGCAGGCAGGCAATGAGAACAGAAGGGCAGGAAAGCAAACTTTTGGATTTCGAGCTTATGGTTCAGCATGTGCGGATTTCCTCAACTTCGCAGAAGCAAGTATGTTAATAATGGGTTGCGCGGTTTAGAGAAAAATCAAACATGTGGCCTCTGCCCGACAACGCAGGAGCCTTCCTGCCTGAGTACAAGGCAAAGGGTATCGTCGAGCAGGATCCCTTTGTGAGCCTGGATCAGGAGAGGATGTCTGAGGGTTGAGGGTTGTAGAGACTTATTCCTCAGGTCCGCTAGAGGAGGTATTCGGTCCTCCTATATAGTCCTTACTTCATCCTCACTTGAACACGCAGCAAAATCCTGTACCTTCAGGCTAAACACCCGCTGCCCCCCACAAGGAGGGCGTTGGTGAGCTGATCCAGATCGCAGTGGAGCGCGGTCGCCGCAGCCGTTCGGGCATGAAGATGGGCATCTGCGGAGAGCACGGAGGTGCCTCGGCTCGGGGTTGAGGAATTCGGATTCGGCGTTGATGGACTGGGGCGTGGGGCTTAGTGTTTGTGTGGCTGCGTTTCTTGGGGGTTTATTTGTTGTTTTTGCTCTGTCTTGCAATTGCTCTCATCAAATGCTAGAAGGAGGAGATACGAGAAGGATAAACCTCCAGACAAAAAAGGCGATCCGGCTTCGATCGAGTTCTGCGAGAAGACGGGTCTGGACTACGTCTCTTGCTCGCCCTTCCGCGTGCCCATTGCTCGCCT